AAAAAAAACACATAAAATTCCTTAGAAAAAACATAATTTAAGAATCAAGAAGGGCTGAGGGATTTAGCTCAGTGGTTCTGGTGCCTGCCTCGAAAGCGCGAGGTCCTGAGTTCGATCCCCGGTACCCAAAAAAAAAGAATCAAGAACCCAACGTCATAACAACAACACTCACCTCTAGTAGTTATAAAGAAATGCCCTTGAAGGAGTATCTTAGTAAGAAAAGAAACTTGCAGAAAACCAAAACCTTAAGAATGATACCCAGAAACCCTGCTCCTACAAGTGGAACAGGGATATAGTATGAGAAATTGCAAATCCCTTCATAAGGTCATCTTGCTGCCATCACAAGTATTCTCCAGACAAAAATTAACCCTGGCTGCTTTGTATAAGCATGAAGCCCACACCCTCCCTCAAATGAAGTCCTGGGCTCTAGTCTGGTTTTCCTGCCTCTTTTTTGCTATGATAATGCAACAGACGGTGCTCGAATTCTGCAGAGTAAATACGCATGTACACAGCCACCCCCAATCTCTAACTTTCATTTCCAATGGGACAGGAAGTGCCTGCTCAGCTCAAGGGACACAGGAAGGGTGGGAATCGCAACTGAGATTGGAAACAGTAGCCAAATACAGTAAATAAATAAATAACAGTATCTCTCAGTAGTGCCATTTTTTTTCTAAAAGTCCCTTTTCTGTCTTTGGGGGACTTTCATTCATTACATACCAATTTGTCCTTGGTTAATGTCTTCTTTCTTGGCCTAACAATCTCATGCAGAAACCTTACTCTGGAAGGTCTGATTCATAAGGGCAGTCTAACATAATTTTTTAAAAATTCAAATATGTCATTTTTCTAGCATGTGTGAGGCCCCAGGTTCAAGCACTACAAAAAAAAAATCTAATTTTTCTGACAGCTGAATATTTTTTAATAATGGTCATCCTAAAGAGGATGTGAAATGGTATCTTACTGTGGCTACTTGTTCTTATTTTCTGATAAATTGGCAATTTATAGCTGTCTATATTCCTGTAGTACAAAGTGATGTCATAATCCCAACTTCTCGGAGGCTGAGGCAAGAAGATTGCAAGTTTGAGCCCAGCCTGAGCAACATAACGCAACAGGTTTTTTTGAGACAGAGATTGGTTTGTAGTCCAGACTGCCCTTGAACTTGCTATGCAGCCCAGACTGTCCTCCCAATCCTCCTGCCTCAGCTTCCAAGTTCTGAGACATCAGGCTTCAAATACTTTTTATTTTGGGGGGTAAATATATCTGATATTTACTCTCTTAGTAATTCTGAAAATGTACCAAATACTACATGAACTATATTCACCATGTTGTGCAATAGTTCTTAAAAAACATTCTTATTCTTGAGATTTTGTACCATTTGACCATCATCTTCCTTTATCCTTCCCTCCTACCCTCTACAACTCCCACTCTATTCTGTTTCTATGAGTTTATTTTAGATGCCATCTATGAGAACATGTAGTATTTTTCTTTCAGTGTATAGATTATTTTACTTAGCACAGTGTTCTCCAAATCCATCCATATAGTTGCAAAATGACAAATATATATCAATCAAATTTCAATTCTTTTTAAATATAGAGGACTGAACCCAGGGCCTTTGCACTAAGCTACATCCCCAGCTTTTTTTTTTCAGACAGGGTCTTGTTAAATCACCCAGATTGGGCTCGAATTTGCAGTGCTCCTGCCTCAGCCTCTCAGGGTACTGGGATTACAGGTGTAAGCCACCAAGCCCTATTTATATCATATTTACTTTATCCATTCACTGTTGATAGCCGTTTTAGGTTGATTCCATAATTTGTTTATTGTGAATAGAGACACAATAAACACAAACGCAAACATCTCTTCAACAAACTGATCTTAAATTTTTGTTTTTGAGACAGAGTCTTGCTGAGTAGTTCAGGCTGTCTGTGAACTCCCTATGTGGCCCAGGATGGCCTCAAACTCACAGCAATCCTCCCGTCTCAACCTCCCAAGTGCTGAAATTATAGATGTGTGCCACTACCCATGCCCAGGAATTTTAAGTTGTTGTAATTTTTTAACAGAGCCAGGTAGGGTGGCACACGCCTGTGATCCCAGCACTGTAAGAGGCTGAGGCAAGAGGATCAAAAGTTCCAGCCCAGGGCTGGGGATTTAGATCAGTGGTGCTGCACCTGCCTGGCAAGTGGAAGGTCGTGATTTCAGTTTCCATACCAACAACAATAAAAAAAATTCTAGCCCAGCCTGGGCAATTTAGTGAGACCATGTCTAAAAAAATGGGGTTGTGTGGGTCAGGGAAAGTGGTTCATGTTTGTAATCTCAGCACTTGGGAGGCTGAGGCAGGAAGATGGTTGCAAATTTGAGGCCAGGCTGGGCTACATAGTGAGTTGGAGGCCACCCTGAACCACACAGCAAGACCCTGTCTCAAAAAAACAAACCGGGCCTGGGATTTAGCTCAGTGCTTTCGCCACCTGCTGCGCAAGCGAAAGGACCGAGTTCCATCCCTGGTACAAAAAAAAAACCAAACCAGGGGCCCAGGGATTTAGCTCAGTGGCACCACACCTGCCTCAAATGCCCAAGGTCCTGAGTTGGGGGGGG